CTGACACCGATACAAACACCGATGCAATTGCACAAACGACAACAAAAAAACTGCGTAGCTATTTTCCAATAAGGTATTTTTAAGGCCTTCGAAAATAAAATACACGCATTTAAAAATTCTCATAAATATTTTTTAATGTTCTTTCTTTATCTGTGCAATTTAAATATGCAAAATAATTATATTTGCGAATTACTAGTATTTTTTTACGTAATAGTGTTAAGAAAGCAAAGTTTAAGAAAAAATATGTTATTGTGATTAGTAGGAAACAATTATTTTTTTTTTTTTACTATTAAGTAGATTTTAATAATGTTTGTTTATTTAATTTGAAATCTGGGAATTTTATCTGTGGTCTTACGCGCGCAACTATCTATAGGATGCAAGTTTAAAAATTTCTTTAAAAAAATAATTAAAAGTAATAAGACTAATTCGAATCAATGAAGGTTCTAGAAGAGCGGACTGGAAGGCAAGAATTTGCAGGCGGTATTTAGTCTATTAGGATAATGAATTAGCTGCGCCAAATTTCCCTCTTATTCTTTATGACATTTTTGCCTACCTTTTCAGTGTATTATTTTGAATGCTAAACTATGTGTTGATTACTGTTAGGGAAAATTTTTTTCATAATGTCTGTTTTGTTAATGTAATAAAATTTTAGCCTAAATAATTGTTATATACTAAATTTTTATTTTTAAATATTTAAAAATTATTTTTTATTTTCTTATTAAAAAAAGGCCGTAATTGTAATTCTTTCTATTTTGTAGATATAAAGACATTTTTCTCTCCCGAAACCATCTTACATATTTCTAAGTTTACCATTCGTCCATGCTTTGAATATTGTTGCCACATGCTCTATAGTTACAGATCCTTGATAAAATCCAAAGAAGTATCTTCAATGTCATTGGTCCTAAGCTGGCATCTCGTCTTCAGCCACATTCCTACCGCCGTACGGTAGATTCCCTGTGCCTTTTAGTTTTATATAAATAATTTCATGGTAATTGTTTCCTCTAGATTCTATGAATTTAAGTGCATTACTCGATTGGCGGCAAGATCTCATCGTTTTACAGTTGTAATTCCTAGATATAACCCGGACTGTAAGTTCTATGCACTTCTTGTGGAACACTCTTCTGGTTTCTTGCTTTCCACTCAACTTTGATCTTCAGATATTTAAATGCAATATCAATCGTTATCATCTGTCGAAATTTCTATTTTTTTTTTTTTTTACTCTTCTCGCTCCTTAATAATGTTTTCCTTTTTCCTATATTCTTTCACATTCAGTAACGCCCCCCCCCACCCTGCGTCTTAGTGACTTTGTTGCTTTGCTTGGGGTAAAATTATAAAAAAAAATTGCAATGTTTAGTTATGAACTGTAAATCTACGACCGTCCTCGGCAGCACAGACGCTAAGTACTACGCCGATTAGAATTTGTATAAAGGATTGAATTCATTTTATGTAAATAATCAGTATCATATATACAATTACTATTTGTTCGGTAAATCATACTTTAGAAAAAAGGAATTTGTAGATAGACATGATCACCCATGCCCTGAAGGAATACGATATAAAGAAGAATTTTATGTATATTTTATCAAAGTAAAATTTTATATAATTTTAAGTGTATAAAATCCTAATTTCTCCATGCAATCAATGATTGAATATCATAACAGTCATCGGTGGGTAAAAGTGGAAGCGGCTCTCCGGGTTCAGGCTCCGGTCTACTCTACAGCATTCACTTTCGCACTATTGCTTTTTGGGAAACATGAAAAACTCTGCGTAGGAGGATAATTTGGAATTCAGAACAATGGAGAAGATAACGGGAAACCAATCAAAGATCATTCCAAAGAAGCCATGGTAATTCACAGACAAGAAATAAAAGGACGATGTGAAGGGCTATGATCTACGTTCTGAAAGTACGTAACATAAAAAAAGTCAATAAAATCAATATCGCGATTTGGCGAAGATAAGAAAACAACATTTATGCTGAGAAAATAAAACATGTTGAAATGACACCTGTATAAGAACTCTCTCTCTCTATATATATATATGTATATATATATATATATATATATATATATATATATATATATATATATATATTCAAACATTATTTTTCGTGGAGACACGTTTTTGACTAGACGAAACGTTTTTTAAAACATTGTTTCTACTAATAATAATGTTTGAAGTAATAAAAATATGTCGGACTAAATAATAAAATCCATTAGTTCTCTCTCTCAAGCACACACACACACACACACATATATATATATTTATTTATTTAAAAATTATAACGTAAGTATGTTATAACATCACTACAAAAATAGCCATTTTGTTTCAACCCTTCTGGTATCTTATCAAATGATATATATATATATTTGTGCGCGTGTAGAAGAAACCACTACAGAGTGGTGGGCAAATTGTCGAAAGTTTGGAAACGTAACAAGAACTAACATTGACAGGGGGCAGTTCACAATATAACTTTAATATCAAGATAAGAAAATTAATCCATCAACAAGAAAATATATAACATATTTGATATGAGTTGTCTATTTTTTTTTCATAATGATTTTTGTTTAGTTTAATATTCAGAAATTATTGAAGATAAATAAGAAGTTTTTGATATTTTATAAGTACAGTGTAATTATAGAATTATTTGAATAATGCATTTTTATGGTGTAATTAAATCAGTTCAATAATAAATAAATCCACGAAACTATAGCGAAGGCTGGAAAGTTTACTGGAACTGAAAACAAAACAAGAATAATTTTTGTTTTCTTATTGTCTATGACAATGCGATTAATGTCATTAATTTTCAAAATAAATCAGAAGATTTCAATTTCTCCGTCATTAAAAAAACAAAAAAATAACAAAACAAAACAAAAAAAACATTATCTTCTAAATCTTGTATATATATCTCTTGTGGAGAGCCTTGATCGACCCCGTCCTAAGGAATGCGACACATAGAAGTAGAATATTTGACTTATAACCCTACTTTTAATATACCCTCGACATGTTTTTTTTTTTATTTTTATTTTGTGGCACCGTGCCTGATAAGTGTTTGTGTGAATCTATAGAATTTTGTGGTTAGTTTTCCGATTTCATCTTTACCTAGCGTAGACTTCAATTTTGCCCATTCTGCAAAATGTGTTACTATTCTGAATATTCCAAAAATAAAATGCATCGTCGTTGCAATGGGAAGACACATTCATAACTGCTTTCCGGCTATTTTCATCAGTTTTATTTTACAGACTTCATTTAGCCGTTTATCCAGATTTTTATTTCATACAAACAAAAATACACAAAACTGTACTGGTGACGTAAACACATACACAAACTAAGTGTGTATGGAGGTGTATATCTATGATTCGTGTGCGTTTGTTTTTTTTTTCTGTCCAAATTGTTTACCCTTGCGAAAATATTCAGATTCAAGAATGATTTCATTTAATTTAAAAAGGAGAGAGAGAGAGAGAGAGAGAGAGAGAGAGAGAAATATTAAAATATATCACATATTCTTTTTCTTTTTTAGCCTATAAATACGTTGTTTCTCTTCACTAATATTATTTGTAATGGGCAGCCTTATATATGTCCCTAAGTTTGCTTTGGAGCCATTCTAATTATATTATCCTTATATTTTCAGATAAGCTCTAATATTACGAGTTGTTTATCGACTTATCTTCTGGCTAAAACGTAAACGACATTTCGTTATTTTTCCTATCAGCTTTACATGATTCAAATAACTTTCGTTTAAAACGTTATACAAAAAAAAAAATACAATTTTTCCATTCGTTAAAAATAAACCAACATTAAATCTACATTCCTAGAAAGTGCTGAAAAGTTATCGGCTTGACCTACTTCCTAAAATCTAAACAAACATTTTGATTTTTGTAAGGGTTTCTTTTGTCGGGCCGGGAAATTTTTAGCGTCTCCTTGTAAAATCGACGAATTAATTATCTGTATGTAAATTAATGTCTCTAGTTTTAACGATAAATTATTATTAAAAATAATTCAATCAACTTGAAGGAAAATTTTGTGTTGTAAATCGATTAAATTACGTTATGTCATAATTTCTTTATTTGATAATAATTTAGCGAAAAATACGATAGTGCATTGCATTTACCTTAATTTTGATTACAGAATTACTTGTATCTAAATTCGAATCACGACAAAAATATATATGACTTACTTTAACGAGAATATCGATTTTTAAATGATACAGTTAAATACAAATATAGTGAAACTTCTTTTCTTTAACATATTCATTTTGTTGGTAAAAATGATATTATTTCACTAACACAAATACTTTCTATCTATAGACTTCTTTAAGGGAGACATTCTGAGGAAGACACTAGCATATGCTGCCCAAACTGTTGAAAATCTATAATATTCGTTTCGATAATAATTAGCTTGAGAGTTTGTTTATGTATGTAAAAAAAAATTAAAACAAATAAATTTGATGTTTGGTCATTGGTTTAGAGATTTTGGAAAGTTTGTAGAGCTGAGAACTATTCAGCGCCTGCCTCATACAAATATATTTAACTGAAATAAGTCTGATGTTATTATGATAGTTGGTTTCTGTCAAAGACAATTGATCTGAAGAAAAACTGTAAACCAATTTTGACTAGAAATGGAGTAAATATTTATCTTGGGACATGTATTTTTATACAAGAAAATGTTATTGTTTTTTGAAAATTTTGGTGAGCACCCCTATACCAAAAACTTTGAAAAACCAAAAGCATTTTTGCTCTTTTCGTAGATAAATACTTGTAATAAAATAAAATCCTTACATTTGCCATGATAAAGTCCCTCAGAGGACGAAACGTAAGATAAGTTTATCGTTTGTCTTTTTCATTATATATATATATATATATATATATATATATATATATGTGTGTGTGTGTGTGTGTGCGTGTGTTTTAGGATATTAAAACAACATGTAAAAGTCGCTACAGAATTTCAGTTGTTTTTCGACGTATACCAATGCGCCTCCACAGGTGAATGTAAATTGCTGA